TCACGTTGGACCGTGGGGCGCGATAAGGCGGGTATGCCCAGGCTATTATACCTTCAAAAATGCGTATCAGGCTTGCGGCGAGGAGCAAGTAGCCCTCCCGCCGCTGCCCATGCGTCATGGTGAATATAACGAAGGAGAGTTGAACGAGGAAGGCGGCGAGGATCGTTGCACGAGGCCAGCCAAAATGTGCAGTGTACCCGGCCTCGCGCAGGTACATAAACATCGTCCCAGGAGGATGTCTGTCGGCCGTGGTCTTGTATAGCGCATGCATCCACTGGGCGGTTACGATGCGCGTCGCCCCGGATCCAAGGTCGGATAACAACAGCCCGGGAACAGTTGAGTTGGGCGGCGCCTCATCGTCGCCATTATCGGCGTCCCATCCCAGGGAGAGCGGCATAGGGAGAAACTCGCATGCGCGCCGTAGTCTGTTCGCGATCCCAAGTTTCCTTTGTGGGATCACGAGCGCGGCAAGCTCAACATAATTAGGCAGTGAATTCCCAAGGACTGACGGTGCGACGAATTGAGATGAAGAGTCCTGCATATCTTCATGACATTGGAGACAACCAAAGACGAGCGCACTCACTGATGAGTTCGGGGAAGACATCTATTATGCATAGACGACGAGGGATTGCTGGAAGAGCTTGATGTTGCGTGTTTAAGTCGGCCATGACAGTATCACCACGGAGCTTAATTGGCAGCAAAAATAGCGATCTTCCCCTTTTCTGTTAAAACCAGGGTCCAGGGATCCCAGGAAGGGACAGAGTCGATGCACATTAGGCCAGCGCGACGCAATCGGGAAAGATAAAAAAAAAGTCAATCTGTAGCCGGCCAAAATTGCACTCCAATTGAGTGCTATAAATGCGAAGGGATTGAGCGCTCGGAATAGACCTCGAGCTTCGCACATAGCTTACAGGGTTGTTGGCGGAAAGAAAATGCCATAATGCCAAACACGACCATCCTCAAACCTCGCTTAGTTGTCTCACCCCGCCTAGTCTCTCGTAGACAGACACTTCAACGAGGAAGCTCGTACCTCGCTTGTTGAACACCCCGCCTGGGGATTAGAGCTGAAACTGCACTGCACATCACTCGCGGGTTACCGAATCTAACTCTCTACAAGCGGACAATGCTGCCCAGATTCTTCTACGCCCATTGCCGTACATCCTCGGCGCTCGGCCCTGTAGGATCGCTCGAGGCAGCGAGGTTGCACTGGTGGAACGCGCGGACTTGGTCTGGGGTAAAGGCACCAACAACACTGTGGAGCACGCCCCGGTTATGGAATAGCACAAGGTCCTTCTCGCGCCTAAAACGGACCTTTAATTGCAGGTGGACACAAGAGATGAAGGCGCCTACCAATCATGAGGATAGACCAACTGCGGATAGTGTAAGTGCTAGATGAACGAGATGCACAGCAACACGCACTTGTGGGGCGATAGCGGGTCGCTGCATCATGTACAACAGATCGCGCACTTCCTGCAAGTTCGTCAAGTGGGTACCGTCAGGATACAGCGCGTCATCGCGGGCAGCGCCCTCTGGGAGCGGGCTGATCAGGAGTTCAGCGGCACCGCACGGATGGACTTGGAATGAGAGCTCGCCGGTCCCAGGTGTCTTCCAGAGCTACCGGTGTACCAATAAGCGGCGTCGACAGACGAAAACACAGAGGACTCACGACCGGGAGCACCTTCTGCTTCGACTCCTCCCACGGCGGCAGCTCGCTCAGATCCATCTCCAGCCCCTCCGACTCGATTCCCAAACCTGTCGACTTGGCGTGCGCAGGGGCCATCCAGACGTACGGGTGTGGCGCGTATTTGACATGTGCGCGCACGGCAACGCTTTTCAGGCGTGGGGGAAGGATATCGAACATTGTCTTGCCTGACACGAAGGCCGTCGTGCCCAGTGGGACGGGCAGCTCATCGCCCGTGCCGTCGTCGTACCGGCAGACCTGTGTGGGTCCCTGGGGAATCTGGAGTCCGTAGAGCGTCGTGACGCGGGGCGGCGACAGGTCGTACAGCGCAGCGTCGATGTGCCACCGGTAGAAGCGCGTGAAGCCCTGGGCCTCGTCTTCGGGGCTGACGACCGTCTTGTGGAACGTCTTGTGCGTCGGGTGTTTGAGCTTCGCCTCGGCGAGCCCCTCGTGGTCGTAGACGGTGCCGTTCCCGATTAGCTGGACCTGCGGTACGCGGGGGATGGTCTTGAGATCGGGATGCAGAATGGATTTCTTTGTTCCTTCGGTCTTGTTGTTTCCGTGCCCGTAGCTCTCAGACGCGGGATCGAATGCCTTGTCGCTATCGTGAGTACACGGACCATGCCATTCCGACGCTACTGACCTTCGTCAGAGCATATTGTTGCTCGGGGCTCAGGGTTGCATCGCGGAACACCAAGGCGTCGTACTAGGATCATTAAGCCAAGGCCAAGCGCAGTCCATCGATAAGTATACCTTGTACAACGCATCGCGGATTTCTTCGAACTGTTCGCTCGTCAGATTTCCCGGGTCGACACCAACAACCTCCCGCCCAAATTGAGTAAATTTCGACGCGTCAGCGCTGGCTGGAAGCGGTAGCGGTATAAGTTGGATGGTCATTGTGGTAGGTTACGGAAAGTTACGGAGCTAACCGTTAATCTTGATCAAGTCCTTGCCGGGGTTACCTTGGGGTTACCGGGTACCCAGTCGAAGCTGATCCCAATTGGAAGGAGACAAGACCGGGGAAGGTCTGAGAAGATGAGAGATAAGGTACTGATAAGGTCGCTGATGCACCGCGTATGTGGTTTTGCCGCACCGCTTCAGTGGCACGCGGGGCCCGGCATCGGATAGTAAACGATTTGATTTCAGTTTTCGACCTTCTTCGCCAACCGGGCTGGATCCTGGGCCAGGACTCAAAATAATCCCATTAAATTACTGGTATGTGCTGTCCTTTCGAGCCTACTCAAAACTGATCCTCGAACTCCTCCGCATTTCGTATGGCAACGGTCATCAGCAGTGCAATCTTGAATCAGCAATCCCGCTCTAGTACATCAAATTGAAATTAGGATGTTTCCGGTGCGATCAATCAGAGAAACGGTTCCTCGAATTGTGGACCAATATATAGTCCTGGCGAAGGGAGCCTTTCCCCAGCTTTCCCTCCGTTCTCAACATGTCCGTTCTAGGCATCCCCGCGGACATCGCCATGATGTACGTGCCCCTCCATTTCGAAACTTGAACGCGTCTAACGTATGTTTTCAGCACGGGGCCCACGGTTCGTCGTTTTAATTTTTTTAAACGCGTGCCGACGACTGACTCGGACCAACGCGAAGATGTTGGGGATATGCCTCAACTGGGGGTTCATGGGCGTTCTGGCGGCGCAGATATACTTCTACCACGAGAACTTTTCGGACGACCGGCCTGCAATCAAATTGCTCGGTGCGTCTCGGGCATTCCTGGGCGTGTAGGATGGTGCTGATTTTCCCTCCTTGCATACAGTGTACGGCCTGGCAGTAATCGACGTGTTGCAGACCGTAATGGTGACCGCCGACGCGTTTCACTGGTTTGTCTACGGGTTTGGCAACATGGCCCAGCTTGATGAGACGTTCCTCAATTCGTGGGACGTCCCCTTCCTCGACTCCGTTATATCTCTGGTCGTCCAGGCTTTCTACTGCTGGCGGATCTATTTCCTTCGAAAGGGATTCCTCATCCCGGGGCTCATCCTCGTCGTACGTTCTCCCACTGTTTTTTTTTCGCATGGGCTAATTAATCGAGTTTAGGTGTCATTGGCTCAGTGTGCCGCAGGAATCGTCACAGCCGTGAAGGTACGTCGACACGCTTGTCTTCACTGACTCATCTCACCTGCGTCGCAGGCACATCAACTGGGGCGGCTCTCGCTGATTAGCACAGAGGTTATCGCACAAACAGTTCGTCTTCAGGCCCTTCCATTTTTTCCGCTGAAATCACTGATGGTGGCGTAGATATGGCTCGTCGGGGGCGCGGTGGCCGATGTGGCGATTGCTGTGGTACTTTCATGGGCGGTACGTGCTATCCCCATGCACAATATCCATTTTCGGCATCTGATGCCGACCCTGGGATTTGCAGCTTCTTCGCGAAAGAAGCAGTTCGCTTCCCGCGACGCACAGTCTAATTACCCGCATCATCCGGCTCATCGTCGAAACCAACGCCCTCACAGGTGTGTCGCGAGGCGGGGCGAGCCTAACTCAATGTGGGTGAGATAGGTGGCTCACATGTGAATTTTTCAGCGGGCGTAGCTGTGATTGCGCTCATATTATTTTGGGGACTCCCCGTAAGCGGTTAACTTCTGCAATTCTTTAAATCCCGGCTCACATAATTTGATCCCCAGCAACACGCGACGCTTGTCGTACCTCCGTACGTCTCCCTCTTATCGCTCTCCCCGCCCTTCCCCGCCGTGAGCTGATTCGTCGAACACAGAACAGCGATCATCGGCAAGCTGTAAGCGCACGGTTGTCATGATATGGTCGAAAATTGAGACTAACCAAAACCGCTGCAGATACACCAACTGCCTCATCGCCGTGCTCAACAACCGCACATACGGGAGTGCGAAGAAGAGTGACGGCCATGGCATGCAGTCCCTCCACCTCCCCCGGGCCGAGTCCTCCCCGGGTCACTCGCACCACAACAGCGGAGGGAACCCCGTCAAGGTGCACGTCGTGCGCGAGATGGAGCTCACGTTCGAGCCCTCGATGGAGCTCGGCGATTTCCGGGTCAGTGTGATATTGCGTTTAGCTGTTCAGTGCTGATACAGCGCCTGCTCAGAAGCCGAATTTGCAGTGATGGATGGTTGTTGGAGCGCGTATATACCGGAAATTAATGAAACTTCCTGGAGAACTGTACAACTTAGGATAATATGAAACATGATGCGTATACAGACAGCAAATTGAGATTGTGCGTCCCACTGGCAAGTGCATCCCTAGTAATTCTCTACTGAAAATCCACCTTGTCGCGCGAACATCGAAATTTTCGACCGTACGAAGCAGAGTTCAGCTCAGAGCATGCATATCCGGAGATGGTGCAAAGGATAGCGCGGCCCTCGGGATAGCTTGTGGGAATCCGGGCTTGGGCAGATCGGGGTTCAATTCCCCGTTTCCGCGACTTTTTGCGATAATCTCCCTCCTCAAATATCGTACGTGTACCAGCCCGTGAATTCGTTGCCCTCCGCAGTAATACACTCTTCCTCCTCCTCCCTTGACGCACAATTAATCGTGGGACGTAGTGTCAAGTAAATGAAATTCGGACTCGGGTTTGAACTTGACTACTTCCGCCGAAGTTTTAAACTGGACACTTCCGCCTTGAAAGCTGTGGACGTTAAGTAGGGGGAGTTGGCGCGATGTATCGCACCTTACAACGATAAATTACACGGAAACAGGAGACTTACTGGCATGACGCGACTATGAAATTAAAATGTTTCGCTCTAGTGAGAAGTTGATGAGACCTCTGGCTGAGATCATGGGAGGAGCAGAGCTTATTGACTCCGTAAAAAGATGAACTTCAGCAAATTACCGCTTCCACCGTCGTCTGTGCTTTACACAAACCCCCTAACAGGTGGTGGCAAACTCCGAGGTGGCTGTGCATTTCTGTGCGAATGTATTGGCCTGTGGACACACTCCTCTCTTGCCATCACCTCGTTTTCCTCGCCTTCAAGACGGAACCATGGACCGGGATTGGATCTTCGAGTATTCCGCCGCTTTCGGCAATGCCTCTTTTGACCGCCAGGGCTTACGTTTCCTTGTGGGCCGGAGAGGACTCGAGACTCGAGCGCCGAAGCTTCTCAGGCTCCAGGATTCTGCAAAGATTCTGGCCCCGCAGGTGGCCCTGCAAGTCAAAATGACTCTGATATTCTCAGTTGGCCAGCTCGCAGCGGTCGCCAATCCAAGGGCTATCGAAGTGAGTTTCATTTTTTTTTTTTGCGTTCAGCCATATTATTATAGCCTATAGCTCTCTAGACTGCAGCTGTGCATTAAGTTTCGAAACTACGGTAATGTACAGTACACACATCAATTGGTTCACGTCTTGTCTCCTCACTATCACGAATGTCTCCAAGCCTACTCATTTCCGACGAATAAACCTTGACTTTTCCAACACGCACCACCTCGCCTTCTCCTACCATCGGGACAGTCGACAAGGGTTCAAGTCTAGACTTAATCCTCCTAAAACATACACCCTCATAACATTCATGCGAAGTCCTGTGGTTTGTGTTGAAGCGCGTAGCATCACGTGACCGCGTTATGTCGAGTTATGTCGCAATCGACACGCCTTCGCTTCCTCATTCAGCGCTTACGGCCGCTCGCGTCTCTCCTCTTACCTTCATGGAGTCTCTACCCCCAGAGCTTCACACCCTCATTCTCGAGCTAGCATGCGCGTCGTTTCCAGGTTCTCAAACTCCTCGAGCGCTTGCACTCACCAGCACCCATTTTCACGCCATTGCAGCGCCCTTTTTATTCTGCACAATCGCCGTCTCGTCTCAGGAGCAAGCCACACCACTCCTCGCACTCCTTGCGGCTGCTCCCGCGCACCAGCGGCGCATACACCGGCTCTTCATAGGCCCGGCTCTCACCTCGTCGACGGTTCTACGTCTCGTAGCTTTTGCTGCGCCGACCGTATACGATCTAGCCGTTGTGGCCACCACCTCCTCCCTCCTGGCCGCCTTATTCCGCATACACCTCCCGCAGCTGAAGGCGCTCTCCGTACACGGCTTCTACCCTCTCCCGCGCCCAGGCGCGTTTCCCACCCTCACCTACCTGCACGTCGCGGGGAACCACAGCCCTGCGGGCCTGCCCGCCGCCCTCGCGCGCGCATGCCCCGCGCTGACGCGCCTCCGCGTGTCGAGTCTACGGGGCGCGCCGGCCTTCGCGCGGGAGTTACGCGCCACACTGGGGGCGGATGACGGCGCGCCTCTCCCGTTGATGGAGAGCGTCAGACTGGAAGCGCAGGCGGACGCTGGTGGGAAGAAGTCGAATAAGGTCGCCCAGGCCCGGGACGTGGAGATGCGCGATATATTGCGCACGCTTGGCACCTCAGTTCGATCCCCGGAGAATTCCCGTGCGCCGCGCGTCGAGTTTTTGGACAAGGTCGATGAAGATGCAGAGGGCATGAAGAGCGCGTGGCTGACCTTGGATTGTCCGTAGTGACCGGTTACCCGCGGCTCCATCTGAATTTAGATTCTGAATCACGCCCAACTATTTCCCATGCCGGGTTCTAACTGCGCAGACCTTGAAACCTCATTCGTTGCTGTCGAAGTTCTATGGGTAAGTGCTAACTCCCAGTTAGGAGTCCTTCCCCTGCCATATGTTTTAGACTGCCGTGAACTACATGCTTCGGGAATCTGTGCTCCGGCAGCAAGGCGTCTGAAGTGGAGCACGGGCCAATCATAGCTTATGAATTCCATTGGTCTTGTCATTGAAAGGGTTCCATCAGATTCCGTTAGAACGTTTCTCGAACTGAGTCTTGGGCTCAAATATCCAGGTGTAGGAGATACCCGCCCCAATTATGCCTTCCCTGCAGACCACTTACCTCCCGCTCATCGCCGGCGTTTTATACGTGGCGTTGTACTTTATATTCGGAAACGCAAGCCTGCGCTGCCTCCCGGCCCTACACGGCTCCCCGTCCTCGGTAATTTACTTGATGTTCCCGAAACACAGGAATGGCTCGCGTTCATGGAAATGTCCCGAAAATACGGTGAGCTGAAACCCGCTCCAGGGGGTTGTTGTACCAGTTTTGAATTCCCTCCCAGATTCAGATATTATTTCTCTGGACCTAATGGGGGACACCGTCATCGTACTGAACTCGATAGCCTCGGTCGACGCATTGCTGGAAGATAGATCTGCAATCTACTCTGATCGGTACATATTCGTCCCTCGTCGCCCTTAAGCCGTTGACACAGGCTCGCAGACCGCAGTTCACGATGATTAACGATCTGTGAGCATCTCGGTCTTCCTTTGGTCCGCTCCGCTAAGATCATTCGCCGATAGTGTCGGCTGGAACTGGCATTTCGGGTTCATGCCATACGGCCCACGATGGAAGAGTAAGTCCTCCTCTCCGATTGACCAGACAATTTCTGATCTGGGGATCCCACAGCCCACCGCAAGGCTTTTATGCGGCAGTTCCAGCCATCCGAGGTCCTCTTCCACCGCCCCTCCGAACTGGAGGCCGCGCACGTTCTGCTACAGCGGCTCCTGGATTCGCCGGAAAAGTTCGAACGACACCTTAGGCAGTAAGTTTATTCATTCAGGTGCATCATGCTCTCAGGCTGACCACGCGGACGTACCCTGCAGCATGGCGGGGATGGTAATTCTGTCCACGGCCTACGGCATCGACGTCCAGCCTGAAGACGATCCCCACGTCGATATATCCGAGAAGGCTCTGCATGCAATGGCTTGCGCCGGGAATCGGGGGTCATATCTCGTCGACTCCCTTCCATTGTCCGTTCCCTCCCTCTTGATATCCGCTCATTATGAACTAAGGAGACGGTAGCCTAAAATACCTCCCGGACTTCTTTCCTGGCGCAGGCTTCAAGAAGCAAGCGCGGGAGTGGTATAAAGTCGTCACAGCCATGCCGGAGATCCCGTACAACTTTGTCAAACGATCCCTGGTGAGACTACACATGGTTGATTATATTAGATGCCTTCTTTGACGACGTGCCGGCGACAGATGGATGGCACGGCGAAGTCATCCATCGCTTCAAGGGTTTTGGACGAGATCGACGGGAAGCCAGACGCAGATGACCAAGAAGAAGTGTTGAAAAACATCCTCGGCGCGTGTTATGGTACGTAACTGTTAGGCTTCCGAACATTCTGCATGGTGAGTTAACCTTGTCCCGCTTCAATGATATACCAGCCGGTGAGTGATGTTCGCTCGACTAAACGCGCTCGACGCAATATTGACCAACCTTGGTCAGGTGGTGCCGATACTGTACGTGCCTTGTGTGCGTTAAGTAACCCCATTGAAATCCCACCCAGACTGTATCTGCCCTGGGCACCTTTATCCTCGCAATGACCATGTATCCCGACGTACAGAAGAAGGCACAGGCAGCAGTCGACGACGTGGTGGGCACCAATCGGCTCCCGGATTTTAACGATACCATTCCATACGTGGATGCAGTCGTTCGAGAGGTCCTGAGATGGCGCCCCGTTACCCCCCTAGGTATCTATCCCTGGCCTTTCTTTTATTCGATACACTGATTTTCGGCAGCTGTTGCGCATACAGTAACGCAGGACGATGTGTACAAAGGATACCACATCCCGGCCGGGTCCGTCGTCGTGGGGAACACCTGGTGAGTTCGTAATAAACATGTGCTGATATTACACCTCCCTCATCGAACTTCTTCAAGGGCACTCCTGCACGACGAAGTGACGTACGGGCCCGACACCGACAAATTCATCCCTGAGCGATGGCTTACAGCGGACGGAAAAATCAACCCTGCTATACGGGAGCCTACTGCGGCCTTTGGCTTCGGTAGACGTATCTGCCCGGTCAGAATTCAAGTGATCTGTCCGCAGGACGCAACTGATACTTTCGCTCACAGGGCCGAGACATGGCGCAATGGTCCGTGTGGATCTGCGCCGCCTCGATTTTGGCTATGTTCAACATCAGCAAGAGCGTGGACAAGGCTGGAGTGCCCATCGAGCCGTCGGGAGAGTACACATCTGGTCTTTTGTGGTAGCTTCCCATCTTCTAGCTTTTTTCTTTTCATGACTGATTTAATTTTGCGCCAGCTACCCTATTCGTCACAAGTGTGATATCATGCCAAGGTCCGAAGCAGCGCGAGTCATGATACAATCGGCCTTGCAGAATTGAGCTCCGGAGGAACCCTGGGATGTGCAGCTCGCACAGCTGAGGCAGTTTGAAATACATATGTAAATACTCGAATCACTCCTACGTTGAGCAATAAGTACAGAGGACAAATCATGTGGAACGTACTGGGCAAGGTCGGCGCGAGGTCAGTTGATCCAACTTGAGGTTGACGCAGATTAAAAAAACTTTCCCGGATGATGTGTTCGTGATCGTCGTTATTCCCAACCGTCGGGTCAAGATAGGGTTCAGCAACCGGCAATAAATCTCATTCCTTTCTATAAAAATTGCTTCGATCTTCCAA